GCCTGGGACCAATGCGGTCTTGTTCTTCCTCCAGTGTGCTGGACATCTTTCCCACCGTCGTGGCCCTAGCCCAGGCCAGCCTGCCCAAGGATCGGCATCTGGATGGGCTGGACATCTCGGAGGTGCTCTTTGGCAGGTCAGAGACTGGACACAGGGTAAGTAGAAAAGGCTCTCGCCCAGGACCTGCTACCTCAGTGCAGACAGTCACATACAACCCTCAGAAGGTGGCTGGTTGGCCCCATCTGAAGGAAAAGGTGAACCTGATTCCACTCCGCTCTCCCACCTCTCCTGTAACGGATCCGGTTTGTCATCCCAGTTTTTATTTAACAAATCGACTCAGGGTGAGTGTACGTGGTGTCAGCATTTCCACAGGTGTTCTATTTTTGGACATAAAGGAGGTGCCCAGTACAATTTTGTTGGACCAGATGACTGACCAGTGCCTGTAACTGGCTGACTGTGGGGCTCCCCCATTAGAACGTGTTATGGGCTGAATTGTGTTGAGGTCCTGACCTCTTGAGCTATGGAAGTGATCCCATTTGGAGTTAGGATTTTGTTGGTTGTGTCAATGAGACCTGGTCATTAACATGAATCTAATCACGTCTGAGTTCCACAAAGAGCAGATTCAATGCAGAGATTGTTGTTAAGTACCCCAAGTCGGTTCTGACCCATATGGTCAAGGCACTGAGGCATGCTGGGAAAACTGAAACCAAAGAAGACAAAGACTTTCCCCAGAGTCAGCGCCCTGAATTCAGCCTTCCAGCCTCCTCAACTGTGACAACCTCCATTTCTGTTCTTAAAGCACCCACACACACATACAGCAGTTCTAGGAAGCCACGGGCAGAAGCTTCCTGAAGGCAGGGACCTCAGCTGTGGGGTCTCAGCCCGGAAGTCTCAGTGTACCTAACACAATGTCCCAGAATCTGCCCTCCAGCCAGAATCCCACCGCTGTTGACTGGGAGAATAGATGAGCACCTACTTGGGCAGCAGCCCAGCTCCTGTCCAGCTTAGAACTCAGGCACAAGCCCGGGCTTCCAGATCCTTCCGGATCCTTCCGCACCCACTTTAGCTCCCTCTGAAGCACTACGTGTCTCAGAGAGCCAGGAAATGTTAGGCCTGGGGCCTTTCCTTGGAATTTCCCAGTGTTTTCCTTTTACCAGAAGGAAGAGGGGGTGGCAGGAGGGAGGGTGTGGAGGAACACAGCCCCTCACTGAGGGTCTGCACATCAAAGGTCTGTTTATGTCTGAACCAATCGGGGGCCACATGGAAGTGACTCAGATGCCTCTCCAATGGACTGCTGGTGACCTGAGCTGCCTGCTCCCAGCCATCAACGTGCCTGTGAACACTCAAGTCGTGTTTGTAGGTGGTGTCCGATATTGCCTGAATTTCCTCTGAAGAAGTCTGGGTCCTGTCCATACTGTCTGGCCATCTGGACCTGCACTCCTGATCACTAGTCTGATCCAAGCAGCTCTGCAGGAAGATGGGAGTGAGCAGAGGGTGACCCTGGTGGGTTCCCAGAGACAGATGTCAGTGGAGAGGTGGCCCAGCATGCTCATTACTGTGGTTACTAATAGGGTGCAGGCCTGCGGTGGGGCTGGAAGATCAGCGCTGGGTCTCAAGGTCGGTTTGAACCTCAAGATCAGCAGTTCACACTCACCGGCCGCTCCTTGTAAACCTTATACAGACAGGGTCTCTGAGTTGGAACCGACTCGGTGGTTGTTAACAGCAACAACAACAACAATTAACAGGATACTTGGGGTCACCAGGAAGTACTTCAAGAACTGTGTCTACCTTGATGCGCTGGCCCTGCCTGTGGAAGCCGGCTCTTTCCTGGCCTAACTTCCATTCTCAACGAGGGGACTCACGGTCTCTTTGGATGAGAAGCAAGCCAGAGAATCGGATGCAAGTCACCTCACTGTTTGGGCTCCTCATGGGCATGGATGGTGTGTGGCAAGGCAGCTGCTGATGGCATCTCCAAGGATGACCACGTTGTGTGCTGGTACCTGTGACCCCGTCAGCCTCCCAGCACTGACCCTGCAGCATTAGTGTTTGAGGGCAACTAAGTAGCTCTTGGCCCTGAATGGGGAGTCAGTCTCTCTGGCCTGTGTCTACTAAGCAGAAGTAGTTGGACTAAAGAGACCAGAGAGTGTCAAATGGGTCATGATCGTGGGGGAGAACCAGGAGGAAAACCTCTGTCTGAGAGTTATTGTTAAGTGCCCTCAAGTCGGTTCTGACCCATAGTGATCCTGTATAGTGTTTCTGAGGGGTGACTGGTGAGTTTCAACTGATTTTGTGGTCCAGTGCTTACCCTATAATGCCATAATTGTATATTATATATTATTATAATTAGTTTATTATTTACTTGCTTGACACTGTAGGATCAGCACTGGATTCCTAACTGCAAGTTGGCGGTTCAAACCCACCAGCCACTTCTCGGAACCCCTACAGAATGTCACTGTGATTCGGAACCAACTCCATGGCACTTAACAACAACAACAACAATGAAGCAATTCAACTCTACACACACACACGGTCACTATGAGTCAGAATTGGCTCCATGGCAGTGAACTTGGCTTTTTGTTTTGACCTTCCGGAAACATCCTGGGGGTAGAGACCAAACCCTGTGTGTTTTCCCTGCTCTTTGCCCACACGGTTCCTGCCTTCCGGTTGACCTTCAGAGCGAATGTTTTTTTTCTTTGAACTGAAGTTTCATCCTTCCTTAGCATCTGGCCTCAAAGGTTAAGCAAGTCTGTTTGGATTTTGTACACCAGGGACGTGCAAACAAACAGGCTCACCATTTTCATCTGCCCACACCACAAGCATCCACGCAATGTCCCTGGCAGGGGTGCCATTCTCCAGCAGCAGCATGGTCGGTCCTTCCTCCCTGCTCTTTGTCCTTCAGCTGGAGCATAAGGCACGCATTCCAAAGCCACTTGGAAATGCGTTTTATGCTTGTGCACTTCTGAGTCCTCTGTTCCATGTGCGTGAATAATCGGGAGTGAGTTCTCTGTGTATTTATGGAGACATGGCTTGCAATGAGAAGAACGTATTTGAGAAACGTCGGGTTAGATCAAAGCTCTTTCCTCAGCCTGCAGAAACTCCAGTTGGTATTGTGAGATCTGCACCCTTAAACACAAGCAGTCTCCATACAACACAAACCAAACTATTGCCGTCACCAAATCCATTTCAATGCATGGTCACCTTAGAAGACAAAGTAGAACGGCCCCACAGGGTTTCCAAGGTTGAATGTTTTTATGGAAACAGACTGCCACATTGTCTGCCATGGAGTGGCTGGTGAGTTCAAAACGATGACCCTTGGGTTATCAGTCGAGTGCTTAACCACTGTGACACCAGAGCTCCTAAACAGTCCATATGACATGAGTTTTGTGATTTGTTTGTACTTTGACACTTGGAGGTCCCCAAAGCTGGTGATGAGAAAGTTGCAAGAATGCTGAGCATTTTCTGGTGTGGCGTGCTGGGCCAAGGACATCAAAGGTTCCGTGTGGCAGTGTGAGTTCAGGCTGACAGCAGCCTTTGTCTTGTTTTCCACTCCCCTCCTCGTAATTGCTTTTCTTCTTCGCTCCAGCCAAACATGGGGACGTTGCATGACCGCGGTATGTGTTTGCCTTGGCAGGGCTTTCTACACGCTAACTTTGTGGAATCCTTGGCCTCTGGCTCAACCAGCATGAGGGTGGGGTATGTGTGGGTGGGGGTAGAAGTGGTCATGATTAATTCAGTGCAACATGTCTTCAGGATGTTTCCATCAAACATGACCTTACCTCTTTCAGCCTGCTGACCATCATTACCCTGGTGGTCCCTTTTGACTAAGAAGTTGCAAAAATAATTCCTTTAATTGCCAAAGTGGAAAATTCATAGATTGCACCTCTATTCTTACTGCCTCCCTAAGAGGCCAGAGCTATTACTGTCTCCACAACATTAAAACAACTCATTAACTCAAGGAAAAGCATAGTAAAATAAAGTAATAAAATGGATGCCAGACTAGTGGTTAGTCACTGGGTAAATTAAATAGCTGGGGGAAGTTTTCCAATTTTCTCTTTTTTTCACTTAATTGTATTTGTTCATCCTCAACACTATGCTCAGAAGAGGATGACAGATGTATTTATTCAACAAATATTTGTTAAACATCTACTATATCCAAGACTTTGAACTAGTTCAGTCATAGCCGATGAAGCAAAACTAGAGCAGACCAAACTTGGGTGATCTGAGATGATAACTAGAATGGGGAAAATTGTGGGTTGAATGAAGTTCCGGAATAGGAGACTGGGAAGACGTTTAGCGAGTCCTCTCAGGATCCCGATGTGAGAGACCGGATCACGGCCAGGACTGTGGAGAGGAACGGCACACCTTCAAAGTGGCAGACGACCGGCCGCGCCATCTTTGAGCAGGACTCGATTGTTTTCACTTGTGCCTGTCAACAGATTTGGTTGCTATGCAACATGCATACTGCCCTTGTTAAGTTTCCATAGAGCTGTCAGCCTGTAAGTTTTCCTGTTTAAGTTGTTGTCCTGGTTCACCCACATTTTACAAACTCGGGTCCATTCAGGTTTTGATTTGTCAGCCATGAGTGAACCAGGAAACACCAGTTAGAAGCCCTGGCCATATTTCAGGTGCTGTTTAGAGAGAAAGAGATTGATGAAGTACCTGTTCTCATGATGTAAAGACAGACAAGAACCGAGTAAATCCACAAACAAGATAATGTCAGGGGATAAAAGTATTGTGGAAAAAATAAATGATAGGATTCCATAAAGAGTGATGGAGGGCATGGGAGCGGGGGCACTATCCAAATTTACATATGTTCAGTCCAGTAAAATAAAATCATTTATTGAAAAATAAGTTGGGTAAAGTTTTCCAATTTTCTCTGTTTATTAAGAGAAGTCATTCTTTTATTGAGGTGACTGGAGACTCTTGGAGACTGGCTGTCTCCCCAGAGACATGCTGAGTTATTGCTACCCATAAAGCACCTGTCTCCCTTCCTCTCACAGGGGGAAGCCCAGCCAAGCAGACCACGTGGGAAGGAGGACACCGAGTTCCAGCTCTGGCTTATTGGCCCAGCAGAGTCCCTGTCAACATCACCAGCACTGCCTTGTTAAGGTATGAGTCCCAAATTATCTCAGGACTTTGGGAATTAAAGCAAGGAAAATGTGGATGGTTGGGTGGCCAGAGCTGGCACATTGTCTGCCTTTGTGTGAAGATGGTTAGCTGACTGGAAGTGGAGGGACCAGCAGGAATGAAAGAGAGCATTGGGAAGCCCTAAGGATTCCTGGCCCAGATGGGTCTTTCTGAGGAGAAAATGTCGTAAGGGAGGAAATGGGAAGAAAGAAGATCCAAGTCAAAAGGCAGTCAAGCGTGCCCAGCTACTGCTAGAACTCTGATTGCAGCCTGTAAGGCAATTGCATGTGCTAATTAAAATAATTAGTGTCTTGGGGCTTCCACCAAGCCATCCTCTGGGAAAATGTCTGAGTGAATGGGGGGTTGGGGATGGCCCTCACTTCCTCTATCTGTGAGTGATGGCCATGTCTGCTGAAGGGAAACAACAAAACCAAACTAGTTGGCATCAAATCGTTGGCTGGTGACTCCATAGGTGTTAGAGAAGAACTGTATTCCTTAAAGGGTTCAAAGACTGATTGCAAAAGTGGTGTAGGGGCCATGTCTGAGCTCCCCCTCCCTGCTTTATAAGGAAGAGGAGGAGACTCAGTATCATCAGCCCAAGGTCGAGGCCTCTGAGGTAGAGGTCAGACATGCCTCCACCCTCCAGCCCTCTTTATCCAATTCTGTCATCAACCATCCCTCATTGTCTGCCGTGTTTGAGAATCGATTGCAGCGGCCATTGCAGTGGTCACACGGAATTCACAGCCAATGCTCACAATGATGGCGTTTAGGGAGGGGAAGAGGGTACAATTCAAGATCCGAGACAGCTCCGAATACAGCAGCTCTGCAATCAGGCATGCCTCGCTTTTCTCTTCCTCCGGCCAGCTGTGTGGCCCCTTGGTCTCTGCTCTGCTCTTTTATTGTTGTGATGTGCCGTGGAGTCAGTTCTGACTCATAGTGACCCTGTACAGGGTTTCCGAGGCTGTAAATCTTTACGGGAGCAGAAAGCCTCATCTTTCTCCCACGGGACAGCTGGTAGTTTCAAACTGCCGACCCTGAGGTTAACAGCTCCTGGCTCTGCTCTTTTAGCACTGTTGATAAATGCCCAAAAGGCACGTCGTTCTGCAAGTCAGCTTCCTGCCTGAAGGCACTCAGCCCCACTCTGTCTGTGGGCCCGGAATCTGCAGCTCTGGGTCTCCTGTTCTGCTGCCGCAGCGTCTCTATGCAAAAGTCTCAAGGTTCCAAGGCTAGGCTGTGTTCATGGCTCTTCTTTCTCGATGGTCCTCCTATCATCTGTTTATGTTTCTCTGAGATGATGGCAAAACAAACCAACCGCCGAATGAGAGTCCCTGTATTTGCGGGGTCCCACGCAGTTATCTGTTGGCAGTCACAAAGACCGGATAGAAGAACCACACTGTGTGAATTCACTGTACCACACTTTCTTGTGGGATTCGGGATGGACTCAACTCACCAGCCTTCCACTTAACAGCCAAGCATGTCATCATTTCCCTCATCTAGAAACTCCCTGCTGAAGAGAAAACAGGGAAAGGAGGGTAGCAGCGGCTCCTCTCCTGGCCTGGGCCAAGCAGAGGGTACGGGATAGATCATTTGAGCCCTAACTAATCTGTTCTTGGGGGCAGACAGATGTACTAAGGGGACTGTGTAGAGACAGATGGTCCCAAGAAAAGAGTCTAGATGCCTGTTTGCCCTGGAGGGGAGGTGACCACCCCAGGTCAGTGGGTGATGATTGAATTCCTAGGAAAGAACATTCTTCTGATGAGGAAGCTTCTAAAATGGGTGGGTTCCTGGGTGCTCCACTTTTCAGAAAGACAGAAGGAAGGTCTCACCGTCACTCTGATCTCCCCATTAAGTAGATCCAAGAGGCCAACTTCTTGGCAAAGAACTTGGCTGTGGTGTGCCTTCTGAAAGCAGTGCCATTGGGGTTATGTGACCAGAACTTACAATGCAAACTTTCTGCTAATTCAGATGGGGACTCCCTCCTGTATTCGTTAACAAGGGGGACTTTCCACAGGGCATTTGTTCACATGCTCAGAGGCTTGGGTCTGGTTAGAGAAAGATTTCCTAGTTCCAAAGGTTCTTGCCCATTAGCTGAATGAGTTTTAATAAAGGACACAGTCCAGTTAGAACAAAGTGTCTTGATGGAACCCTGTCGGCATCCTCACATCCGGGGGGAGGGACAGAGTCATGCCCAGGGAAAGAAAGGGTAAATAAAGAGCTCTGGTGGTCAGCGTAGGGTAGGGGCTGGGTAGGCTGTGGGGCTCCCAGGAGCTTCAGGTCAGCCTTGTACACTCAGGAGCAGGTGTGTTAGTTAATAAGAGCACAGCATGCAGCCTGGAGTCTGGGAAGAGGGCCAGATGAGCTGCTTTTTATAGGACTGGCTTGGTGTCATCGAGAGGGGCCAAGTTCACGGGCTGGGTTGCACAGTGCACAAATAACTCAGCAAGCTGTCAAATTACATCACCTGGAATGGCGCACATGCTTCTCATTTGAGATCTGTGTTTGCACCTATAGTCAACCACGGCACCCAAATAAAATCATATGTTCTTGATAACTTAGGGGCTCAGAGGTGACCTAGAGGGTAGTCAGGTGATCACACAGGCCCTGCTGGGGGAATTTCATCAGCACTGTACCATGACACCAAATTAGCCCCTCTTAGGATAACTTTTGGTGTGAAATCAGCCCTTCCCCCCACATGAATCCACGCAAAGCAAACTTGGGAGGAGACTTCTCACCGTCCAGATATGTTTCTGTGTGTCTAGTATTTGTTCCCTACAATTCCCTCGGAGCCCAACTCAAGAATATCGTTAAGGTACCTATGCAAGAAACGAATGCTCATGCTTCATGTTCTCAGGACCCCAGCCAGGCATTCCAGCCCAGACTCCACATAGTCCAGCACTTGATTCCTAGGAGAAATATACATCTTCCTTTAGGTCAGAGATAATTCCCTGAAGACACTCTGAGCCAAGGGCAGAATCCCTTAAACCTGCATTCCAGTGAATTATGGAATGTTGGGCTGCAGGGAGTAGTAAAGTTATGTAAAAATTCACTGTGAATGAATACCTGAAAGTAGAAATGGAGAGAGTGTGAGGTGGGAGGTACACTCTAGATCTCACCCTTGTACAGAAAGCCAGTGTTAATTTTTTGGTGACTACATAGGGAGTGTAATCTGATGAAAGAAGTGTCATGTCGTCACACAAAAGCCCTATGTCACAGTTACAGAATGAGGGAAATGCATTCAGTCAACAAGTATTTATTGATGTGACCAACTATGGTAGATCGTTGTTCTAGGGACTGAGGCTACAGGAATGAACAAACCAGACCCAAAGCTTCTGATGGTTGTTGTTGTTAAGTGCCGTCGAGTCGGTTCCGACCCATAGCGACCCTGTACAGGGTTTCCAAGGGTGTAAATCCTTATGGGAGTAGAAAGGCTCATCTTTCTCCCGCGGAGAGGCTGGTAGATTCGAACCGCTGACCTTAAGGTTTGCAGCCCGATTCGTAACCACTACGCTACCAGAGCGGGGCTCGCTTTGAGGAGGCCAGGCCTTTGGTAGAACGTGTGAGGATTGCCTGGTGGTTCTATAGTTCTAATGCAAGGTTTCCCTTTCAACTTCAGCACAGTGGACCTTTTGGCAAATAAAGCCCCCCTGGTGGCACAATGGGCTGGGCTGCTAACTGCAAGGTCAGCAGTTTGAATCCACCAGCTGTTCTGAGGGAAAAAGATGAGGCTTTCTGCTCCCATAAAGATTTACAGCCTCAGAAATCCTAGACAGGGTCGCTATGAGTCAGAAAGAACTCAATGACACACAACAATGTTTTGCTTTATGGGAGATGTCCTGTGCACTGTGGGATGTTTAATAGCATCTCAGTAGCATCTTACTAGGAGTCTTGGTGTAGTGCTGTAGGATAAGCACTGGACTTCAAGGTCAGTCAGTTTGAACTGCAAGGGCGGTGGTTGAAACTCACCATCTGCTCCATGGACACTGTACACAGCGTCGCTATGAGTTGAAATTGACTAGATGGCACTTAACAACAACAACAACAGCAACAAGCATCTTACCTGGACTCCTGGTGTGGGTGTTGTAGAACAAACACTGGGCTGCGAACCAACAAGATTGTCAGTTCAAACTCACTAGCTGCTCCTCAGAAACCCTGCACAGGGTCGCTATGAGTTGGAATTGACTCAGTGGCAATTAACAACAACAACACAGCATCCTACCAACCCTTCATAGTTGTGACAGACATAAATGTCTCCAAGGAGTCCTGGTGTGGCACTGTAGGATCAGTAATGGACTGCAAGGTCAGTTTGAAGCAGAAGGTCAGGGGTTCAAAGTCACTAGCTGCTCCTTGAAAAGCTATACAAGATCTCTACGAGTCGGAAATGATTCAACAGCACTTAATAACAACAGCACTGCACACTGGAGAGGAGGTGGGGAACTGGTCCTGGTTGAGAAACAGAACTTTAATAGAATGGATCTTGGTGAAATACAAGATAGCCAAGAGTTTGCTGCTCCAGTTGGAGAAGGACAGTCCCCCTGCTCCCCAGACCCAAATGCCGCCAATTATTTTCCTACCTACCCTTCACCTCTTTGATTCCTGACTTTCCCCAGGTAACTGACAAGCAAAATGTCCTCAGAGGCTAGGACACATCCTGTCCCATTGCCCTATGACCCACTATCGGTCAGCTTAGCTGCCCACCTCCAGTCCCATCAATACGAGCTCTGAAGCCCTGGATGTTCAGTTTGGAGTGCGTCCCCTGGCGGCCCTTGGGGTCCTAGGATAGGGTCTCTTTATTGCTGCTCAGTCTGTTCTGTCAGGCACTTTTACAAACACCCTTCAGAGCCTGGACTAGCTGAAGATGCATTGAAGAAGAAGGAAATTTTTTCATACGGGCAACAGAATCTGCAAAGTTGTCTGTTGCTCTGGGCCTTGAAGAGTCTCTGCCGTCTCTCTTCGTAAACAAATGCTTGGCCTCACCTTCTCATGACCAAAAGGGCCCACCAGACATAGCACCAGTGACCACAAGACTTAGAGGCCCGTGAAAATTCTACTATGGTTCTTTTTAGTTGGAATGGGAACATGAACTTTTAGTAGGGAGGAAAGAGTTTAATATAATATTTATAGATTCACCTTTATACCAATGCAGTCATAAAGTCTAATTTTTAGGGAAAAACTGTTTTTGTGTTGTTTTTAATGGAAGAAGGGACCAAGAAAAGCCAGGGTGCCTCCATCTAATGACATGCCTGTCCTAAGCATCACAGTGAATTGTAGAAACAGGAAAAGTACAGTTTTGTCTTGTTTTTCAAATCTTCATTCAAGCTTTCAGAAACTCCCAGGACCACTTAGGCAGCGTTTGAGGTCTGGAATAGCTGGCGTCTGTTGGTGAAGTTTTCTAGGGTCGCTGCTTTCTCCAAGTTCACAACCTGGGCTGGGATTGGCACAACTAGCCCTGAGATGGCAACAGGCCTGTGTGCCTGAGTACACCGCCCTCTTCCAGAGCTGACCTGGGGAGCTTTTGGACACCCCGAGCTTGCCAACGCTGCCCTAAGCTGCCCTGAGCTGCAGGAGGTGGTGAGGGGTTGATTTGTACTCTTCCTGGTGGCCTTGGACTTCTGAGGTTCCTTGAAAACACTGAAACACTGGGATTCTGGGAATATTCGCATTAGGACTAGACCCTAATGACATTATGATGCTAAACCTTACACGGTTGTTGCCTTTCAGTCAGTTTTAACTCATAGCAATCCTGTATAGGGTTTCCAAGGAGCAGCTGGTAGGTCTGAACCACTGACCTGGTGGTTAGCAGCCGAGTACTTACCTAAGTGCCACACCAGGACTCCGATCTCATACTTATTGTTGTTGTCAAGTGTCGTCAAGTCGACTCCAACTTATAGTGACCCTGTATAGGGTTTCCAAGGAGTGGCTGGTGAATTTGAACCACCGAAGTTGAGATTCAAACTGACCTTGTGGTTCAGCACATTATCTCACAGCACCACCCCAGGATTCCTAGTGGAGTCAGTTCCGATTCATAGCAACCCTGCATAGGATTTCTGAGGCTATAAATCTTTACAGGAGCCTCATCTTTCTCCTATGGAACAGCTGGTAGTTTCAAATTGCTGGCTCTGAGATTAGCAGTCCGACTTGTAACCACTACGTTACCAGAGCTCCTTAGAGGAGACAAAATAAGATGACAAAAAAAAAAAAAGCATGCGATACATTACAAAATGTAACTCAGATCCTGTTTTTCTCTCTGGGTGATTTGGCACAGATGTGACATTGAGCTTCTCTCTTAGGGATGCACTTAGGGAACGCTTAGGCAAACAGCTGTAAACCAGCGCAGGCTTTACAGATGCTTCTCAACTGGTTGCAGCCACCTTGGACTTGGACAGGTCTCCGGACTGTTCCGTACTTTGCAAGCGTGCGCTCTGTACTCCGTCAGCTGGCTTTAGTGTGGGATGCCAGCTCCTGGCGTGTAGAGCTGGAGATAAACCCTCAGCTATGTGACCTGTGAAGAGAAACCAGAAACACGGTGTACTGTGATCGCTGGACAGATGTGACCTGGAGGGGAAGTGTGTAGACCACATGCTGGGGAGAAGGAGCTGGGTAGGTGGAGGCCTCCTGGAGCTCAGATGGGTAAAGTGAGGCCATGTGATCACGTGGCCCTTGGAGACGTGCAGGCCATTAACAGTTGTTGTTATTGTTAAGTGCCATTGAGTTGGTTCCAACCCACAGCGACACTGTATAGGGTTTCCAAGGAGCAGCTGGTGAGCTTGAACCGCCGACCTTGCAGTTCAAATGTCTTTATGGGCTTCTAAATGAAAGGTTGGAGGTTTGAGTCCACCCAAGGTGGTTCAGAAGAAAGACCTGTGGAGCACACTTGTCCTCTGACATACGCAGCGTTGCCATGAGTTGGCACCATATTGATGGCCACTGTTTTGCTGCATGTTTTTAACTGGTGGCCCTGGAGGTCTCCCCGTGGCCCAGCCAGAGTTTGTTTCGGTACCTGCTACTCAAGTTGCCCGGGACCTTTCCTGGAGAAGTCTAGCCCCACATGGCCCCTGCTGCTGGCCCCATTCTGACCCTCAGAAAAACAGCCCAGTGGAGGTACAGCCCCTCTGGTTTTAACAAGAAGTTTTTCCTAACACGAGCACAAAAGTCTGAGGGAGATGTGCCCTATAGCAGAATAGAAGTGAATTATAGGGAATCCTGGTGTGGCACTGCGGGGTAATGCGCTAGACTGCAAAGTCGGTTTGAACCACAAGGTTGGCAGTTCTAACTCACAAGGAGCTCTGGTAGCGTAGTGGTTATGAATCGGGCTGCGAACCGCAAAGTCAGCAGTTCGAAACTA